TTAAATAAATGTACAGATATGTTATACGTGTGCAGATATGTTATTTACAAAGTGTGCAGTTAACAAGTGTACAAATTTTGGATTCCGTGTATAAATATGTCAGTTGTGATGGGCGATGTATAATTATGAAGTTTAATTGTTCAGACTGAATATAGCCTGTGGGGAAAAAAACAGTTCTTGTGCCTGGCTGTTCTGGCAGTCAGTGATCTGTAGCGCCGACCAGAAGGCAACAGTTCGAAGAGAGAGTGGACTGGGTTCTGAGGGGTCCAAGGTGATTTTCTTAGTCCTTTTCCTCACTCTGGAGATGTAAAGATCTTGGAGGCTGGGCAGAGGGGCACCAATAATCCTCTCAGCAGTCCTGACTGTCCGTTGTAGTCTCTTGATGTCTGATTTGGTAGCTGAACCAAACCAGACAGATACGGATGAACATAGGACAGACTCAATGATAGCAGAGTAGAAGTGTTTCAGCAGCTCCTGTGGCAGGTTGAATTTCCTCAGCTGGAGAAGGAAGTAGAACCTCTGCTGGGCCTTTTTAGCAATGGAGTCTATGTGAGTGTCCCACTTCAGAATCTGAGAGATGATGGTGCCCAGGAATCTGAATGACTCTACTGCAGCCACAGTGCTGTCCATGATGGTGAGTGGGGGGAGAGCAGGGGGGTTTCTACTGAAGTCCACGATCATCTCCACAGTTTTGAGTGTGTTAAGCTCAAGGTTGTTAAGAGTGCACCAGACAGCCAGCTCTTTAACCTCTTCTCTGTAAGCAGACTCGACTCCGTCCTTGATGAGGCCGATGAGTGCAGTGTCGTCTGCAAACTTCAGGAGCTTGACAGAGGGGTCATTTGAAGTGCAGTCATTTGTGTAGAGGGAGAAGAGCAATAGGGAGAGAACACAACCCTGAGTGGCGCCAGTGCTGATCGTGATAGTCCTGGATGTGAATTTGCCCAGCCTCACTAGCTGCTGCCTGTCTGTCAGGAAGCTGGTGATCCACTGACAGATGGAGGTGGGCACAGAGAGCTGTGTGAGTTTGTCTGAGAGAAGGTCAGGCGTGATGGTATTGAAGGCCGAACTGAAGTCCACAAATAGGATCCTTGCATAATTCATTCGTCTGTCGAGGTGTTACAGGATGTAATGCAGTCCCATGTTGACTCCATCATCCACAGACCTGTTTGCTCTGTAGGCAAACTGAAGAGGATCCAGCAAGGGTCTAGTGATGTCCTTCAGGTAGGCCAGGACCAGTCTCTCAAGTGACTTCATGACCACAGATGTGAGAGCAACAGGTCTGTAATCATTAAGTCCAGTGATT